CCCCAAAACCCCAAAACCCCAAAACCCCAAGAAGGTGGCTTATTTTTGAAGATCTTATAAGAATCCAAGGGTTAAAATAAAATGGAAGCTTAGCAGCTTCATTAAATGTGTAAAAAGGAACAGAGAGTTAATAAGGAGATTAGAGCAGTTTGAAGACTTTAGAGAGTTTTAAAGATTTTTGAAAGATTAAGAGATTTTGGGAACGGGGTGAAGGTTTAGAGGGAGTTGGAGGGAATAGGGATGGGTTAAGGGAGTTTGGGAAGATTATTGGAGTTTTGGGATTGGAGGGATGGGGTTGAGTTTTAGGGGCAGAATGGATGAATATTAAAAATAGAACAAAATTTGATAATTGGGCTGAAAATTCTGACTTGAAGATCAGAATACGATAGTTTGGTGAATAGAAAAGCATTTTACAGTACAAAAATTGGAATCAGCAACAAGCCTCAAAGAAGGATTTGGTACCCTAAGACATGAAGGCCAGACCTCCAGCTGCGAGGATGAGCAAGGAGCAGCCCTGAAAGAGGTAAGAAGCATGAAATCAAGCAAGGAACAGGAAGAAGAGTAAGCATGAAAAAACTGAGGGAGAACAGGAGAGGAGAAAAGGTGGTTGACCGACCACAGATTGAATGAAGAAATGACAAGTCTGTGATTAAGGAAAGGAGGCTATGGAGAGGATAGATGAAAGAGGAGAGAGCAGGCTATTATTTTGTGGAGAGAAGGGAGATTTTGGCAATGAAAGCACTGGTCAGTAGATTTAGGAAAAAAATTAAATAGAATTATTTTTAAAAGCTTCTGGGCAAACTGATCTAGCACTTGTGATAAAATGAGCATGGTGTGTTAGCTTAAGAATATTAACGATATAAATAACACTATAAACTGTAGTTCAAATAAACCCATTTTATAAAGCGTTTATAATTTTCTTCAATTTTAACCTTCTAAACCACCCTCATTCAGAAAATTCATGACCTTTTCACACTGATAATAAACTTTTCTCCAGATAGTGTACAACCTGGCATGCTTGCTTATCTTGATTAAATTCTGCCTCCCAGAATTCCCTTCTCACTGCTTGGCACCCCAATCTTAACTGAAAGCTAGTTTTAGCCAATCCATTTCCTTAAAGTAAGACTTAATTATGGAAAATCTTTATGAATAATGACTAGCTCGGCCGGCCAAGAAAGCCACTATGCTCTTAGTGATCTCCCTGTTTGAAATCAATACAAAAATTCTCCATTTCCCTGCTGCTCTGCACTAGTTCTTCTAAAGTCTTCATTCTGGGAGCTTCAATGTTGCCGATAATTTAGTGGCATAATGTGAACAGGCATCTTGGCTGGATAGCTCTGAAGAAGCGACTTTGGGAAACATTCTTATGCATATGAGAAAGACAGAGATCGCCTCCTTGGTTTCGGGTAAGCATGATAATTTAGAGGGTTTGCGTTAATAATACCCATTACAAAATACACAAGTTGGTCATCCGTATCCTGAATGTCTCATACATCCTTCAAAAGGATCTTAACCCTTGCAAAAATAAACCTTGTCCTAGAGTGAACTTATCGCTCCCTAACAATTTTTGGATTATCTTGCTTTAACAAATCTCTAAAATACCTTCTCAAGAATCTGGTAGTAGTCTTCTGTTGTATCACCAATTGAAATCTAAGAATTCGATAAAATAGTTTTTGAATATGGAGTTAAATAAAAATTAAAAATTAAAACTTACAGAATCTCTTTAAGTAAAAACCCATATAATGCTGTATGATTTCAAAATTATAAGGACTAAATCCTACTAGTATATCTTTCCTCTTTGATTCAACTGAAGTTTTAATACAAACATTTAGATGAGTTAGAATCAACCCGTACCTTTTAGAGGAATCAGTCCTTTTCTTGCTGTATTTTCTTCTCTTGCTCATTAACTTATCATTCTTTCTAAATTGGTTCTTTTCATGCTTCTTTTATTAAATCATCATGTTATTATTTTTCCAAAATTGTCAATAAGAGGGAAAGCAATCTCAAAGAATTATAATAGCTAGTTGAGTACTAATAACAATCATTTATAGAGAGAAAACGCTCAGAACCTCAAAAACAGGTTCAATAGAGTTTAGAAATTTTAATTATAGAAGAAAATAGAGTTTTTATTTGATAAACAATTGAGAAATTTTAGAGAGTTTCTTGAAATAGGACTGTGGATGAAGATCTATAAACCAAAGATCTTGCGAGAAGCCTTTACTCCATTTATTACCTCTTCCTACTTTATATTTGCTTTTGATTTTTGACACTTTAAAGTTTTTTTATTTATATTCTTCTCTTTTGGTTTCTAACAACTGAAGAAGCATGTTCTTTATTTAAAACTGCCTGAAGCACTTCCGCTCAGATTTCTTGTAAATTCTGGCTTTTTATCTTCAACCTTTTTATGCTTATCTTCCTCATCCTTAATTTCAAACCTAATTGGTATCAATTCTTGATGGTCTGAATCATATATCTAAAATTAATAATAAACAGAATATACAAAATGAACAACTGAAGAAACGATCAAAACTCATAATAACCTTCCCTTAAACAAGACTACACCTGAACACTACATCCCAAAACCCCCAAAACCCCAAAACCCTCAAATCTCTTCCCCAACCAAAAACACCCAAAACCTTACCAGTATAAACCCTCCTTCCTTCCTTCCTTCCTTCTTTCCTTCCTTCCCACCCCCTCCTCCTCTCACCCCCCAAACCCTCCTTCCCACCCCCACCCATCCATCCTATCCTTCTCCCCTCCCCTCCCACACCCTTCCACCCAAATCCCTCAGACTGGGGTTTTGGGGTTTTGGGGTTTTGGGG